CAAAAACTCCATAATTTATAACATTGCCACTAAAAACCCGAATTAAACCCGTCAATAAATACTTTTTTTTCAAGGACGTTTCCATTTAAACGGTTCACACTGTATATAACCATTGACCTGCAATCTATTTGTTTACACTTCTCGTCGTTTAAAATTAATTTTTAGGTCTTTAAACCAGTTTAACATCTTGTTCGATACAAAAGCGATAAATAGAGGGCGATGGGGAAGAGCAAGAAAGCCCACTCCCTCAGACACGGGCCAGAGGACCGAAGTCACTGAGAAGCATTAAAAATCATAGCACCCCGCAGCGGTTTATGCTACATTACCCCGTCTGATGAGCACGCCCTTGTTCGCCGGCTGCTGCCGTTCCGACTGCATTTTTCTAAAATTCGCAGATTTAGCCAATTTACTGGAACCACTGGACCATGCATCCATGATAAAAACGCTCATATTCCACTCCTCTATTTGCACCGCGCATACACCAGATTGACACTGGTCGAAGACAGATATTACTTCTCCATATTCCAAAGAGGAGAAGAGGATATTTTACGAAGATACTAGGAAAGTTTTCTCCTTAAGATGAATTCCTTCAAATTAGGCATCAGTTGGATCAGTGGTGGAACTTTAAAATTTGCTTCGAGGCTCTCCGTATGCGCGTTTCTTTAAATTACTCGTGGGCATGGGAATTGTAAGCTAGACAGCAGACGGTCAAAAAGCAGGCTGTGTTCTCGGTCGCACTAAATGACGTAAGTGTAGAGAGCAGAGCGGTGTAGAACGTATCTGATACTGCTTCAAATCTATACACCTTTCATATTTGTTTATAGTATTAGTAGTAATTAATTATTGTTAATTTAATGGCAGTTGTTTACTTTAGTTGTGTAAAAATAAATCTCAAGTATGTATGTATACAGAGTGTGCAGAACAACGTGTATAATGGAAGACCACAGATTGGTGGATTCAAAATAGGCAAATTTAGGCTAATTCCCCTATAACCTGTAATCGATTGTTGATTATTTTTAGGATGTGGATTTTTGCTTTCAATCTACACATTTTGGTGTTATACAGAGTGTTTTTAAAACCTACAATCCTACAAAATTAATCCGTGATAATGATAATATCCGTTCATAACTTTTTCCTCTTTCGGACAATAATGACAACTATTTTTAATCTGACAGGTGATACCATTTGGAAATTTTTGGGTAGAATTTTGATCAAATGAGCGGTTTGAGCACAAAAAATATTTTTTAAATGTCTACATTATCTTGCCACCCATATTACAGTACTTAACAAAGTGCTAAAAGGTACTGATTTTGTAGGTTGACTGTAATTTCAGTCTGATCTTTAAGTCATTGTACCTGGTGTTTACGACGGTAAGATATACCACCTGTTACTTCATTTTTCGACATAGATAAACACACATACGACGAATTAGAGTTATTTGCAACGTGCCTAATTTTTTTGAAATAATTACAGAAAACAATCAGATACAACGCATTGATAGCATTATTATTGGCCCTGTTATTTTACGCAATAGACTGAATGGGGAATTTTATTAAACTTAAAGATCAAACTGAAATTACAGTTAACTTACAAAATCAGTGCCTACTAGTACTTTAAGTATTGTAATATGGGTAGCAAGATAATGTAGACAATCAAAACATAATATTTTGTTTCCAAACCGCTCATTTAATTAAATTCTACAAGAGTCCCAAAAACTCATCTATCAAATTAAAAATATAGTTGTCATTATTGCACGAAAGAGGAAAAAGTTATGAACGGATATTATCACCGCATACCAATTTTGTACGATTTGTAAGTTTTAAAAACACTCTGTATAACACTAGAATGTGTAAATCGAAAGCAAAAGTTCACACCCCAAAAATAATCAAAATCGATTAATACGTATTCGAGTTATTTACAAAATTCAAAAAAGTTTCACCAACTTTGAAGCCGTCTAGCGGCAAAACGAAGCGATTTAGGACGTATGTGAATTAGTCTAAATCTGCCTATTTTATAGAGTCCACGAATATGTGGTCTTCCTTTGTACACGTTATTCTGAGACACCCTGTATACTCAATGCCATATTATAAGATAACAAAGTTATTTTACACAGTTTTTAGGTAATTGATAAGTTTGTTTCTATATTATACATCGGATAAAAATAATCTCATTCCATCAAAGAGGAGATGTCGCTCTTTGATGATTCGCTGGTCTAAAAACTAGATATGTGCGTGTTAAGATTATTTTGTATGTACAATTAATACCCATCATTTTTTATTGAAAACAATAACTTTTATGCGATGCCACTTTTTAATGCCTTTTAAATTTACAGCGCTCTCTACTGGTTCGTGAATTACGCCAATGTTAATCACCTTAACCCCGCGACTAACGAAAAATCTCCAGTCCAAACAAAACACTGCCAATAAACATCCGAAAACCAATAAAGCGATATACATTAATCGCGAAATCTAACTTATCTTGTTCGGCTGGAGGAAATCCATCAGAAACTACCTGATACGTCGCCCGAGATAAATCTGACCCGAAAGAAAGACGGTGGGGCCGTAATTACAAAAATATAATTACAGCGGAAAGTTGCACAGAAGTTTCGCCCGCCTCATAATTGATCGCCTTATTAAAGATGAGTTAGCCGCCTTTGTCTAAGCGGGCCGGGGGTTGCTAGGAGACGCTTCTCAACTGTTTGCTTATTGCAGAACTCATATCCTAATTGGGTTAGCTTACATCTGCGTCATCGCCGTCTAGCGTTACAGGTGGAGGGTTCCCATTAAATTACGGGGAATAATGGCTGGATTAATCGAGAACTGTGGAGATACAAAGCTTTGGATTTTTATTTTTAAACTGGGAAAACTTATTCCTTTAGCATGTTGATGGATGATTACATCAGTTTATTAAACTATATATTTTCTGCATAGAGTAATCAATATAATACATATACAATGTGTCCTAGTTTTAATCTATCAGCAGTAGCGTCTATCGTCTATATGTTTATAATATTTTACTATATGTTAATTTAAACCCAAACATCACATGTTATATCCCCAGTGTAGCTATCCCGTTAATGTCCTAAGTTACATTGATAATTGTACTAGCAATCGCATGTAAAATTTTGGTTAACAAATCTGTCTTAATTATGAGAAGTTACAAGAGTAGGTATATTGTTCATCTACGAAAGATGATTAGGCTTAATCGCTCAGTATATCGATTCTGATCCAGTTTTGGTAGGATTTTTAGTGGCAAAGCATTCATTGCTCAACACATTGTATAGAAATGTTGTGCATGCTAGATTCTAGATTGAATGTATAGCAATTTTAGTTGACGTTTTATCTTAATAAACGACGGTGTTACGAGGAGTATATTGGTCATCGACGAAAGTTGAATAAACTTCATCGTTAATTAATTCCAATCTAAGCCTCTTGAGAAGCCGGTGACAGATTTTTTTATGGTAGTGCGTTCTTCTACATTATACTAACAGTGCCATGTATGATTTTGGATAACGCATCTATCTTAATTACGAAGTTGCAGGGGGTAGTCATAGCCATAGCTAGAACTTAGAACTGTACATGAATATCCCGTTATTGTTGAAAATCTGCATATTTAACAATAAAAACTGTATCTTCGTAATCAAGAAAAATTAGCCATAGTTTTATCTAAACCGTAAGCTTCAATGTAGAGTCCACTAAACACATAATACCTAGAGTTAGATTATTGTTTACAGCGACATCTGTTGCAAATTTTTATGACTTTCTGGTCTTATTAGTTTTATAAGTTACAGGTAACTGTAGGTAAAATTTTATTCATAACTAATTAACTGCTGGAAGGCACTGTGGGTTTTATGAACTAAGTGTACTCATGACTATACCTACTGTGACCACTGTAACTATAACTACATGGTACATGGTATATTTTCTGATATATTCAATTTTGTTTGCATTATAGATAACTGTTTTAATTTTTTTTAGGTTGAAGAAAGAATTGTTAGATGGACATAGTATTGTACTAACCATAGATCTATAATCCCATTGTTATTTATTGTTTCACTATCTGAAACTAAGATTAATGATCATAAAATGAAATCCGTCAGCCACATTATTTAACTTTCATATTTTAAATGAAAATTAACACCATTCCCAAATGGGTGTGATGCTATCTTCACGATATTGTTTGAATCGCATATTTGTACAGGAAACCAATAACCCAGATTACAGACAAATTTGTCTCTGTTCTGTGCCAATAATCAAAATTTTCTTATAGTAGATAATAGATAAGGTACATAAACATTACCACGAATGAATTCTGAAATAGGCTTGGCGGGAAAGTACAGCAGCTCTGTCCGTAATACCCTCCTTAGAGCATATACCACATGGAGGGGCACAGTGTAGACGAGTGATAGAGAGAGTTTGTGTACTATTTCTCTATCGCGCAGATACGTGATTGATTAACGCAACTCCTTCCCCAACGATTACAGACAGAGAGAACGAGTACTCAAACTATCGTTCTTTCTCTCAACAGCATGGATACTTCTTAATAAATTTATATAATCCTATATATAATAAATTTATCCTGTAATTGGATTTGTAATCTGTTGGGCAATAAACATATTATTATTATTATTAATACGCGGCGCTTCCTTCATGTAGTATATCTTCTAATGCTTATACCGTGCTTTGAACATTTATCTGTTCTGTGTTCTGTGGCTTTTTAGTTCTATAATCAAAATCCCATTGTATCGAACCATATAAAATTTAATTTATTCTGGAAACAAATTACAAATGTAATGACTATAAATATTAATTATATAATAAGTAATACAAGTATTATTTATCTTTGCACTGATATGTACCTGCGTATCAACTTTTCGTAATTTAGTTAAGCAAATTTATGTAGAGAAAATTTTCAACTGAATGTGATTATATTAAAAAAATATTTGATAAAGAGAGATTTGGAGGGAAATTCTCGCGCTATAAATTTGTGGTAACGGTAAAGTTAAGCATTGTAAGATAGAGTAGCCGATTTTATTGTTTTAATTTGTTCCTTATATTTTATTTTTGGTGATTAAACAAGCTGGTAAAATGGTTAACAAACCGAAACAAAATAGCAAGATGTACGTCATAAAAAGGGGTAAGAAAAAGAAAGATATGCAGTAAGGTTAAACTAAAATCCTCAATTTTTTCACAGATGGAAGAAAAGAACAAGTTCATGTGGACAAAATTACGTCCCGGATATCGAAACTATGTTACGGATTAAACATGGATTATGTAGACCCGGTAATTATAAAATTTTTCATTTCAAAATTTTATAACCTCATATCTACAGTTTTCTCAAATTATCGTTTTCCAGTTTTCCATAACACTAAAAGTGATCAATGGGCTGTACCCTGGGGTCACTACGGTAGAACTGGACACTCTAGCTGCCGAGACAGCTGCTATGATGACCATCGATCATCCCGATTATGCTACGTTGGCTGCGAGGATTGAAGTCTCGAATCTCCATAAGGAGACAAGAAAGCAGTTTAGTGGTATGTAAAGATTAGTATTTTCTGACCCGGTGTTTCTTATTGTAGTTTTTGTTTATAAGTATCGTTTTTAGTTTGATACTTTTACTTAGTCATAATCTTTAAATATACCTATAGACTTTTTTAATGTTGATATATTAAATTCAAAGATGACAAATTAGCATTCACAATTAATTTATTCGAGAATGTGTGCAGTTTTAGTTACTTTGAGTTATTTAATAATTGCACAATATTTCATTAGTTCTACTATTAATTACGTCACTACCATTTTCCATACTTTTTCTGAAGAAAAAAAGTCACTCATGCGGTACTAATTAAAAAATCACAATAATATAGACTCTTCTCAAAATTTCAGAGGTAATCGATGCATTGTACAACATGACAAACGAATACACCAAAAAACGCACCCCAATGATTGCCGAGGACATTCATAATATTATTATGAAAAATGCGGACCGTCTCAACTCATGCATCATATATGACAGGGACTTCTCCTACAATTACTTCGGTTTCAAAACTCTTGAGCGTTCCTATCTGCTCAAAATCAACGGGAAGATTGTTGAACGCCCTCAGCACATGCTCATGAGAGTCGCTGTGGGAATTCATGGGGAAGACATAGACGCCGCTATAGAAACTTATAATTTGTTATCGGAAAGATATTTCACACACGCAAGTCCAACTTTATTTTCCGCGGGTACTCCCAGACCTCAATTGTCTTCTTGTTTTCTTCTAATGATGCCAGACGATAGTATTGAGGGTATTTTCAACTGCCTGGCGCAATGCGCTTATATTTCTAAGTCAGCGGGAGGTATTGGTGTCAACGTTCACAATATCAGAGCCAAAGGAACATATATTGCAGGCACTAACGGTGTGTCGAACGGTCTAGTACCTATGCTGAAGGTTTTTAATAGCACGGCAAGGTATGTCGACCAAGGAGGCAATAAACGACCAGGAGCGTTTGCAATATACTTAGAACCGTGGCATGCTGATGTCTTCGAGTTCCTTAATTTAAAGAAGAACACTGGCAAGGAAGAATACCGAGCAAGAGATTTATTTTATGCATTGTGGATCCCAGATTTGTTCATGAAACGAGTAGATTCAAATGGTGTTTGGTCTCTTATGTGTCCTCACATGGCTCCGGGTCTTTCCGATTGTTGGGGAGAAGAATTTGAGAAACTCTACGAGAAGTATGAGAATGAGGGGAATTACATCAAACAAGTACAAGCTAGGGAACTTTGGAAAGCTATTATTGTATCCCAAGTTGAAACTGGCACTCCTTATATGTTGTACAAAGATGCCTGTAATAGAAAGAGCAACCAACAGAATCTTGGTACCATCAAAAGTAGTAATTTATGCACGGAAATCATCGAATATACTTCACCGGACGAAATCGCAGTATGCAATTTAGCTTCGATAGCCGTCAATATGTTCGTCAAGGCCGACAGGAAAACTTACGACTTTGATATGTTGAAAGACATCACCAAATTAGTAACGAGAAACCTCGATAAAATAATAGACGTGAACTACTATCCTGTTAAGGAAGCGGAAAATTCAAATAGTCGCCACAGACCCATAGGAATCGGGGTACAAGGTTTAGCAGATGCATTCATACTCCTACGGATGCCTTTTGACAGCGAAGAAGCAAGTTTGCTCAATAAACAGATATTCGAGACGATTTACTATGCTGCGCTCGAAGCAAGTTGTGAAATAGCAGAACAAAAGGGCACTTATTCGTCTTACAATGGTAGTCCCGTTAGCAAAGGGATCTTACAGTATGACATGTGGGACGTTACGCCTACCAGCCTTTGGGATTGGGCAGCACTGAAAGAAAAGATAGCGAAACACGGCGTTAGGAACTCGCTACTTTTAGCACCTATGCCGACAGCTTCCACTGCTCAGATCCTTGGAAACAATGAATCCATTGAACCTTACACCTCAAACATTTACACCCGTCGGGTCTTATCGGGCGAATTCCAAATAGTCAACCACCATTTGCTCAAAGACTTGACAGAGCGAGGCCTGTGGGATGAAACGATGAAAAATCAAATCTTAGCCAACTGCGGTTCTATCCAGAACGTCCCTGATATTCCTGAAGACCTCAAAGCTATTTACAAGACGGTCTGGGAGATTTCGCAGAAAGTGATCCTCAATATGGCCGCCGATCGTGGGGCCTTCATTGATCAGAGTCAGAGTTTGAACATTCACGTCGAAAAACCAACATATGGTGTCCTCTCGTCGATGCACTTCTACGGCTGGCGCAAGGGGCTTAAGACAGGCATGTACTATTTGAGAACAAAACCCGCTGCCAAACCGATCCAGTTTACCGTGGACAAAAGCAAGTTGCTCGTCAGAACAGAAGAGAATGGGACGAATGGCGTGCACAGTAATGGAGATTCAGACTTTATTCTGAAGAAGAAAGAGGAAGACGAGTTTAATATGGCATCGTTGGTTTGTTCGCTGCAAAATCCCGAGGCCTGTGATATGTGTGGGGCATAATGACACGAGATCGGTGCCTCAGAACTGAGCTTTATCTTAATTTTAAAAGTTAATATTAAAATTAGGTAAGTTGTGATTGTCATTTTTCTTCATCGCTCGTTATTGTATTTTAGTTTCATTTTAAATTTTCATTTAAAATTATCCTTATTTGGAAAGACTAATATGGTTGTCCTTCATGTTTCCTTTGTTAACTTCTTAGAAAATGGAAGGATAAATACTAAATGAAACCAAATATTATCTGATTTAAATATTTATGGGGTGTATATCACTCAAAAACTTGTAATTTTCAGGTAATTTATAGATTTGGAAAAATCACGAAATTTTTTTAAAAGTTTCATGGATTTTTTTAAAATTCTTTATACCTTTATACAATCTCTCACAGCTCGCTAAAATTAATGTGGTTATATTTTGATAATAGAACATGGGACCCATACTGCATTTTAAAGGATGATTTCTATGCCCACTTCTACAGAAAAAATTTGCAAAATAAACAATTAATATAGGGTCGTCAATTCTGAAATCTCGAAAAGGGTAAAAGGGTTATACATTATGTACTTGCAAAATATTAATATTTTTATTCATTATCAGCTAATACATAATCAGGTGTTTTTTTTTTATTTTTTGCGAAATGATCATAATACCAACATATATTTAAACTTGAATTTAATATTAATATTCGATTTCCAATTTTTTGTGCAAATTAAGGAAACATAATTCGCAATTACATGTGTAACCCTTTTCAAGATTTCAGGGTCACCCCTATTTGAATTTTTTACTTTGCAAATTTTAATTTGAATATTTTTCTTCATAAAGATCCAGAAATCATTTCCTAAAAATCAGTATGGGTAAATGCTTTGTTATCAATATATGATCATTTTAATTTTCACAAGTTGTCACTGCATTTAAATTAGTTCAAAGCGTAGTATAAATCGAATATTATAAATAGGTTTTTGAAAAATATTGGCATTTTTGACCAAATTCTAATATTATGTATTTTGACCCAATTTAAATTTCTGTATTAGTCAATAGTAAAGAAAACTGAAAGAATTCCATTTTTTGTGGTACTTTTAATTTTACCTTAGGCTCCTTACATATTTTTTTAATTCGAGAAATTTTAATTAAATTCATTATTTATTATATATGGAGGTAGTACTGTTTTTTCAATAATAAAGCTCTTAATAACTTGTACAGAATAACAATTTTTATAATTTTGGTGCAAAAGTATTTAACACAGTATTACAAACAAAAGTTACATTGTCTGGACTTTTTTAAACTGTCTGTCAAACTTGATTAATACTTTTAGATATAAGTGTATACTGTATATTATTTGAAAAAATCATTTGTTAAATATTATTCCTGAAAAAAAAAATTGGAAAATGGTGCTCCCTTAAAAACAAACTGATACATTTTCTCAACCTGGAAAATGTTTTAAATCTACCTAGATATCAGCAAATTTTTTGGTCAAAATTAGTATACACCTTATACTTTTACTGTACCTTTTTATTATTTTAGAGATTATTTACATAAATATAATTCACAGTTGGTAGGCTTTTTAAATGAATTGTTGTCATTGCAGCATTTTAACAATTACCTTCATATTCTAAGATTACCACTGTTAGAATTATTTAATTTTAATTTTATTTATGTTTATTACAATTTAGAATTTTTAAGAATTACAAAAATAAAATATATATTTCAATATGATTAATTATTTAATCCATTCTTAAACCAATTTAATCTTACCAGATTGAAATAAATAATTGTATTAATATTAAACGTAAAAAAATTATATCAAGCAGTATTTCTTTTTTTGAAGAAATTTAACAAGCAAGAGTTACCTAAAAGTTTTATAAACAAATTCCTTGTAAATAATCTATTTATTTTTTACATCTTCAGCAAAATTATTAACAGTCACTGAATTTAGCAAACTTCTAGTTCAACAAGGTTGATTTTCTTTAATAAATATCTGTTAAACTGCGCAACATATTTCAAATAATGTCTATAAAAAATTAGTCTAGTCAAAAAAAATTGCAAATACCCAACAAATAATTGATTTTACAGAGTAAGCAAATGGGGAAATTTTTTTCCTGTACACATAAATCATGTAATTAACTTTTTATCCTGGGTTCTTAAATCTTTGTGGAACTTTAAACATAGGTCCATGTCCTGGAATTATAAAATCAGACAATATCAAGATTTTCTGTCTATTAATCCTCTGCAACTCCTCAGAATCACTTCCCGCCTCCTTCCATATATTATCATCTGTTAAGTCCTCAAATTTCTCAAATAAATCTCCTGTGATTGCCGTTACTCCCCTAGATGAGTTCACTATTACACTAACATCCTGTAAAGTATGGCCAGGAGTAGGAGAAACTTTAATTCTATCGTTTATAATATATTCGTAGCTGCTCTTGAAGTCGTGATCAATTTCGTATTTGTTTTTATATGAAATACTATGACCTACGATATGTATTGCTTTTTGAAACAAATAATTACATCCTATATGATCGGAATGCCCATGTGTGCAAACCACATAATTTATATCGTCAGGAGCAAACGATTCTTTGTTTAACGCTTTTACTAGTTTATCTCCATCCCAAGCAGTCATGGTGTCTACAATTACATTTGGTGGGCCCTTGATTAAAACGCAAGAACAGTTGGCGTAGTAATTTCCGTTTTCAATTTTAGAATATCCATCAAAAAGCACTATGGGATCCATTTTTTAAATTCTAAATACTTTGTTTATATCATTTGTTAGGTTATGATTTGACATATCAGATCAGAAATCAGAATATAAATAGGTTATGTTTACAAGTACGCAGTGAACTAGTTTCAATTGGAATCAGATGGGTAGAATTAACGAGTGAGCGAACGAAGTAAGAAGATGAATTAGCTTGTTTTGGGACTGTAATTTTATTGGTGCACCTGGGGTTGTATTTTGTAATTTTCTTACAGTGTTCAATCTATATTTTCTGTTCGTCAATTCGCTATGAATATATTTTTGTTGCTGCTGTATTATCTGTATAAATAAATGTAGTTGCTGTATCTATTTTACATGAATGGTTGGCCAAAAATCAATTTCTCTAAGAAATTTAAAAATCCCAAAGCATTTAATCCACAGAACAGAGGAGAATTTACTACCTTTCAATATGGCTGACTTGCTCACGGTCAGAATTCGTTATCCTCATAAAATAAAATGAATTTATAAAGAAGTGCATGTCCTTACTGATCTGTGTCGTAATACTATTAAATAAAAATGCGAAAATATGAGAGTATAGTAGTTTCAAAATTTCATGAGCCGCGAAAGGCCGTATCCACATAATTCTTCTAATAAGCACGTTGTGAAAACATTGACTCAGAATTAGACCACGTGCCTCATTACAACCAGAAATGAACTATGGCGCTCGGGCATCAATAAAGTCAACTGGTGAACGTTCGTTATATATTTTTTTATTGCTTAAATTAAAATAATGAAGAATAGATCATTTTATTATATTTGTAATCGGTGCAAAGGCTCGTTTACGCTACGAGAGCTCGATAAAGACTGAATAATGGATGTAATGTTTTTAGGACGTAGAATAATTTAGGCGACCGTCGGAATTATGTTTCTGCGCATATCAAGGTCAAAGCTCATAAGATTTTGAGACAACTCTACTGAGAGAACTATACGATTTGATCTAGTGATTTATAGTGTTGGTGATACGTATTGATATTTTTCTGTATCGATACTTTATCGATGGATCGAGGTTTGAAAAGTACGTATCGGTGTAGCCTGGAAGAAGATCAAAAAATCATATCTAGACATCTAACTTTAATACACTATAGACGGACATCTTGAAACGATGTTTTTTTCTTTAATTGTTCTAAATGTCAGAAATTCTATTACAACTATAACATATTGCTGTTTTGATCATCAAACTAATTGCAAGAATATTTGGTAATAGCAAAACATAATTTTATAAATAACGTATTACAGTTATACTACTGATGTTAATATTGTAAAAACATTTACGATACAGGCAACCAATATTGCACGGCTGGTACTGACTAAATTTTAGCGTCACCAATGTTAATGATTCGTTTACAATGAACAATGACAAACCGTTACGTCTACGCTCGAGATAATACGATCGCTTATTGACTGAATAAAATCTCATGAGAAATTACACACTAAGCCAGTAAAACAGAATGTTGTGTTTTAATGTAATTGTGATCGCATAAAAAGGCATATACTCCCCACTCCACTACTTTATTACCACACTGTGCATCCCACTCTTAGGACTCAAATGAATTTGGTTTACACGTACTTTGATAACAGTGGTTATTTACTATACAGGGTGAGTCATTAATAATGGTACACAGCTTAATGGCAGATTGCATATTCGTATTTTTCCACCTTAACAAACGTTAAACTACAAATTTTCAAAACAATCGGTCCATATACATACTTAAAATATAGCAAAAAATCGAAAATATTTTTTCAAGTTTAACACCCTGTAGAACGAAAAGGAGCAACAATTGACTAAGGCATATTTTTTGGCTCAATCGCTATATTTTGACGTCAACAATCTGCCATTAAGCTGTGTGCCATTATTAATGACTCACCCTGTATAACTTATTTATGATATTTACATTTACTTATTATTTATAATTATATTTTATATTATATTTCTTCAAATATATGTACCTATGCATGTTTTACTACCGAATTTTGTTTTAAAACAATTCGAAACGTTATTTTTGTTCGATTTTATTTAGGTATATTTTTTAGTGTCGCTCAACCTCTATATCTCATAAATATGATTTTTCTGCGAAATTGAGCGTGCGTTTTAAATTTTTTTAACACCAATTAAATGTCCAAATCGCAGGTAACATTCCTTCTTTTTTGAAAAGTTATGTATTTTCTTAATTTAGTGACCGGAAATTTATTAAATTTTCAAAATAATTCTTTTCTAAACTGCTTTTTGTACCTGGGTCGTTTCATTCTATTTAATGAAAATTGCTAGTTTTTTCAGGATTTTGCCTCATCACTCATCCCTCTATCACAGGGAAGTTATCCACTCTCTGTCTCTTCTCTGTCGAATCATTATCTGTTTTTCGAGTATTCCAATGAAACATATGACTAACTTGAATAACTGGATTTATTGACTTTATTTTATAAATACTTTATATCGCATTTTGGATCGAATTTCATCAAAAGAATCTTTCCTATTACATTAAGAATTGCTACGTTAAAAATTTCTGTTTTGTGCACTTAGCGCAGTGGTCAAAAGAACCAAAAAAGTTCCCGCGTCCGCCCTGTATATTTTGTAATAATTACTTTATCAGTGAAACAAGCGCGATACCTTAGATAAAACAAAACAAATAAGATTATCAGAGATAATGTGACTAACAGCTCTAATCGACGACCTGCCTCTGTCCTGTCGCTAATAGCCATAATTACTCGGGACAATTATACCGTCTACCTACGCCAAATTACATCCAACGGACGCCGTCTCCATAACTCAGAAACTCACAGCGACCCCAGATTTCGAACTGACCAGTCCCGGTCCAGTAAACATCGCTATCTGGCGGAGAAACAATGTACGATCGCACCTGTTCTCTTACCTGAGACAGGTGAGTGGGGGTTACCTGGCCGTACGACGTCACGTGACTCATTTTACACGTAAAAAACGAGTATAACCGCACCTTCCGTCCTCCCCTAACGACAGTTAAAAAACAAGCGGAATCCAGTGCCTGCTTCGCGTGTGCTGCAGAACTTTAAACTTGTGCTTAGGTGGGTTGATTTTCTAGTGCAGTGCGCCCCTTCTAATTAACAATAGAATGCCAAGGCATCGCGAAAGCCTTTCATTGTCCTGTGATCGTTTTATCTCAGGCCGCTTTATCGATAAATAATTCCCAGAACGATCATTAGTGCGTACTGTGATGCGGCAGTGGAAAAAATAAGATGTGCAATTTCTTGAGGACGTTATTGGCCTTCTCCTCGTTCGTGGTGTTCTTCGACTTGGTCCTGCTGCAGGAAACAACGGATTACTATACGTACACAAAAGCGAATGACCCACAAATTCAAAATCAAGCTACGGAACACCCGGGGGGCACGATAGTCAACGACAAGTTTGTGTTTACCAAATCCAGGAGTCCGTACTGGTTAAGAAATGACCTCATCGTCGAGAGGAACGCCGAAGTCGTCATCGAACCTGGCGTGACGATAAAAGTGGAACCCCAAGTGGGTATAACCGTCAGGGGTGTTTTAACGGCACAGGTAAATAAAAAATATATAATTTTGGGTGGCCAGGATGTCCAAATTTGGATTTCATTAGTCATACACACACACTTTCACTTCTTGAAATAACGGTTGTTGATTGGGACAAAGTGAGGACGTAATCAATTGCTTTCTTTCTTTAGAGATGTAAACAAAGCCAAGGGTAGCTTTTAAAGAGTTCAAATTCAATGCAAAAGTCTGCGTATCAGTAAACGTTAAAAAGTAATAAACTACCTATAACAATTGGTATTTCCTCATAAGCTCCGCATAGCCAGGAACAAAGAAACTTGTAGGTCACGTTCTCCGAATGAACTCTAGTATTTAAATGGCTTGGAAATGATGATGGTGAACTAGAAATTGAAATAAATATACAATATTGCGATATTGCGACGAGAACAAATGTATATGTGCGTAGTTATTCCAGTTATTTTGTTTAAAATCGACCACTCTTGTGTACAAGTGTAGAAATGCTACCTTGGGGTCAACATATGATAATTAGGCCAAATTTGTTTCATTTGACATATACCACACCATACCTATATAGAGCTGAAATCTTATCATATTGTTATGCCTCATGTCGAACTTGGTTCAAAAGTATTACCTTAATTCCAATTTGAACTTCTCGTAACTCACAAATGAAACAACTTTTGACTTTTGATCGTTTGTAAACCTTCATTTAAATACACATCTCCAAATCAAGTACTTTTCAAAAGTTTTCTAACAAATGATCATATTTAAATGTTATTTAACGATAGGTAGAAAGTAAAACATTTATTACATGGATACCCACTCGTGGTAATTTCCCATCCAATTTCTTATTTAGGTACCTACATTTTAAGCAAAAGTGTATGCAAACAGTTTGGCATTTGGAAACACAAATTAATTAAGTGAAAGTTTTGCTTTTATTTCATTGTTTAAATTGAAAGAGCGTCATATTTCCTTCAGATCTGAATCCTTTTTGAAAAGTAGTGTTCCAGAAGTCGGAAATATTTGCTTCAGCTTGACAGCGATGACTAAAGACCTTCTGTACTAAATTAAAGAGAGACAAAAGGAACCTTTTGTTGTTTTAAATAGATACAGTAATCCAATCTAATAATTAAGAATAACTGGAATACCTCCATTTGAAGAATATTTATTAATTCTCCATAGAAAAATCAATATTTGATGACATTTACCAGGATTAATTCTTATCTATACCTAATAATAGGCAATATTGACAACTTATCATTTTTATTTATTACATCATTGATCGGCTTGTGTAGGTAGTTGTCATGTATGTGCCTTTTATAAATATGTACCTTTTTTGATCTAAAAGATTTATAAGTACCGAAGAAAAATAAAGAAATGCAAATATACATGCGCAAGTACATGTATACCCGATATATCGAATCTGTCTACGAAGTTATTAAACACTAAGTACATATATGTATTTTTCCAATTGTCGACAGAAAGATTTCATGTTGCAGAACAAAGATTTTTTAAATCTCAACGCAATAATATTGTTTAATATTATAATAATAATAAAATTAACATAACAATAGTTACATATTACCTAAATTCTCACGTGAAAGAAATCTGTGTCGATTGTTATCTAGTTTGTATTTCTTTTTAAATTAAATAATTACGTTATTAGATAATTAACATTACAAATTTGCATTTTGTAACTAGTAACTATCACAATATTGCTACAGTCATAATCAGTTCTTTGAATTGAATTTCTATGAACTTTTAAAGAGACTTTGAAAAAAAATTACTAACCAAATACATAAAATAAATAGGCAAACCTGATGTAAACCTGAAGAATATTATTTAATTAATTAAGTTTTTTGCAATTTGCAATAAATAATATATAAAATCGGTTACGAAATTTTCTTAGAAAATTTAATTCATAATCAATTTTGCATATCCCTATGCTGTAAATGAATCAGTTTAATACAAAAAAATCACCGCAATTTTCCAACAAAATGCACGTTTTCAGGGAAAGCTCTGAGTCAGTCAGAATCGTTGTTGAATGAGTCACCTTAATTAATAATATAATTTCTGACAAGTGTATTTATATAGTAGTAGTGATACGAGGAGTTAAAATGTATTTACAAAGTTTATCTTTGGATGATAACAGACGGTGTTATATTACATTTTTGGGTTTCATTAAATTTCTGTAATGAACATTAGAAAGCGTCAGATAATTTTTAGTATCTTCCCATTTTAACTACAATTCGATTTTCAGTCTTTTCATACTATTAAATCCAACTTTTCTTTATTTCAAACGGTTTTTCAATATACCTAACTGTGTTTAATTGTTTTGTCGTAACTCTTCTTAAAAATAAACAGAATTTAGCATTTGATTAATCTTTCCTGTAACTGAGTAGTAGAAATACTCTTCATGTATTTATACGTGTAAGTTGGGTCGAATCATTATTACAACCATGTATCTGACGATTGTAATTATTCGATCATTGTTATTCAGTAGTTGTGGTTCTTCCACAACACCAAAACTCGTGGAATTTCCCTTTCCGGTCATATAATACCCACATTAAGCTCGGCTGCATTCCAGGGATTAAAAGCCATAAAAGTGATACCTAATAGCCATTAGACTATCGTTTGAACTGAAGAGTATCGAATACCTGCACACAAAGGGTACAGGATACTGACATTTTTAAAGAAAAATAAAAGTAAAAAGATTAATCAGATTAACCAATAAATATCTGAAAAATTTGTCTCATTTGTTAAAAACAAGCAACCAAGAGATGGCATTATTTTCATAGAAAAAACTGTCAATTTATAGAGAAAACAAGATCATTAATCATTAGATTAATTATTAAAATGAATTCATAAATTGTTCATGTTGTGAGCTATGTGAATGTTGTGGATGTTCTTTCTTCATACTGGATCATACATTTATAAATTACCATCCTTAGTCTTCTAAATTTCAAAATTCAAATGATCTTTTAAGTATAGCTGTTTTTGTTATTAATAATTTATCATTGCACTATTACATTGTCAGTGACTGTAAAACATAGACTACAAAAGGATATGCTTTCCTCAAGCTTAGAGTTTTTAATACGGATAAGATTTTTTTATACAGGTTTAAGTTCAATTGTTTTTCATTTCAAGTGTTGTAAATCAACTTTTGTAAAAATGTGCACTTGTACTTTTTTTACAATAAAAGTATAACTATTATTATATAAAATTTTCAGTTATGTCAATTTTCTAATTTTGTTGTGACTCTCGCCTTAGGCCGGTCCTGCCCTGTCAGTCCCGTCGCCGTAATATTCTAGGGAGAGGCAAAATCAAAAAAGCCGCACGTGGCGCCTTTCGACCTCCAGCCTCAGGAGAGTGAATGGACTGATTCATGAACTAAATTAATTGAAAGCTACATCTTGACCTGTAGTCAAATAGCTGGATGCAATTAAAACTATGATTTAATGTAATCCTTTTATTGCCAATTTCCGCTCATTACGCCAACTCGTTCCTGACCAGTTCTCTGCGAACAAACAGAGAAATTAAAAATGAAGAGAGCCTTTCATTTCAGCTCATTTCCCTAGACACGGTTGACTGGTAGTTTGTGTTTGCAGTTTTATTTGCGGTGATCTTACCTCACAATTAGAGGAAGGTTCTTGATAATTTATACAGGACGTGTCAGCTTAAATGAAACACGAAGTATAATTGTTAGACTATATAATAATAAGACTCGAGGTCTCGAGGTAGATTTATAATTCGAAAGTGTATAGAAAAAATTAAATTTTTAAACGAAAGTGTAACAATCTTTATCCGTGATTATTATTAGCAAGAATTTTGTTAAACGACGTTGTTATTATCCTTTTGGGCTACGGTGTGCAATGTGCATTACGTTTTGCTTTACCGTTGTACAAAATTTCACAAAATGAGTCTAGTAATATCTTACGATATTTTTGTTTCAGCTCAAGTTCGCTGGTTACGATTGATTAAAAGTAATAAGATATTTATATTTTCTCTTTGATTTGCACAACATACAATCTTACTTAAGAGCTTCTCAGTTCACTTATACGAGGTGTGCCAACTTATATCAAACACGAGATGGTATTGGTAAACCAGTAGATTGAAAAGCATAAGAAATGTTTAAATTTGTAATTCGAAAGTTCAGCAAATTTTTAACAATTTCCTATAAATGTTATTTGCTACACTGACGGAAATCAAACAATAAGAAAGTTTTGCAAAGACAATCCGTGTTATAATAGTCTTTTTTATTAGTGTTACAATATCAAATGTCAAGCTTAGTCAAAATTATCTTGTTAACGTTTTTTCACTACCTATCTTAAGTCGATGCTTTACTAGTACAAGAGGGCACCTTCTTAGGTGAATAGGTACATTTTTTTAGCATTACTTCCCACTAAAGATAACTAGACAACTTGCTGCACTAGATAATTGACTTTAATTGACGTTTACATATCTTGCTAGTAGGGTAAAAATTGTATTCTAACTACCGTATTTAAAGCAGATAATTTGTTAGATTTAATCAATTTTTAGTTATGGCTAACAGATATTTCCCTCAGTGTAGATACTTACTTTTGAAATATGGTCTAGGTATACAGGCTGTTACAAATTCGTTTCTCACTACAGGGATCTCGGAAACGGTAAGAGGTAGTAGCTTAAATGGGGGTAAAGTTACGTAATCAGGGGACCAACATTATGCCTCTAAAAAAATCAAAGCTAACATGATTAGTTTTCGAAATATTTGAAAAAAAAACGAAATTTTGGAAATCCGTGTTTGTTTAATTTCAACCTTGTTTGAGGTGATATTAAAAAAAGAAGAACACTTTCTCATGGCCACTGTTTGCCCTCTATCGAATGGCATAATCAATTTTTATATGTAACGTTTCGTCTCTCCAGGACCATCATCAACTTCATTTTTTTAAATACGACCCTAGAAATTGTATTATATTTTTTGCAAGCTATCATGACCCCCAATACTGTACTGCCTCAGCCCGATCCAGATTCAGACGTTTTGTCTCGAAAAATTC